GGAAGATGGTACAAAAGCACATATTAAGAGCCTGGTGTGGAACAAGGAGATGACTATTAGGGCGACTGGCTCGACACATACTCATTTCTGCCCGATCCCCGTATGAGACAGTGGTAGACAACGAGAGGCTAGCCTTCGCAGTTGATCACCCCCCTGCATGGCTCCTGTGGTGCTGCAGACCCCTGCTCACTGCGTGTTGCCCTACCGCCAACAGGCTGGCTTTTGTCAGTCATCTCCATTGACCCCCTGCAGGGTCAGAGGACCAGAGGTTGAAATCCCTGACCTAAGAGAACTGTCTTCTGTTTTCACAAAATGACTGTGCTGTTTGAAAGGCTGTGTTATCTCTTGTTTTGACAGAAAAAAGTCACAAAATTCTGTGTCTTAATCTGCAAGGGTAGCTCAGCGTGGCCTCTACGGACAGATAACTGCGTGAACGCAGGGATGCGATAATACAAAACCGTGCAATGTATTTACCAGAAAGTGTTTCTAAATTATATAGGAAATGAAAAGCTGACATTCAATTAAAATGAGATTTTATATTGTCGCTCTCCTTTTCCCAGCGTTCTGCTTTCAAGCAAAAAAGTGCAGCCTGAATGCAATGCTTATGTATCTGTGGAGCTCAGGTCCTGTTTCTGAAAGTAAGGCAAGTCATGCCTGGCCTGGCCACGCTGGGCTCAAGTGTCTCTGCCTCTTTTCTCTGATACTCTCCTAAAGTTTATTCCCGAATACGGGTCTATCTATCTACTTGGATGTAGTGCAAGTTAGGACTTGTACTCAGGCACAGCTTAGGCCTATCCTAAGATACAGTACAGAGCTAGCCTAAGAATCCACAGAACTTTAAAAACGGAAATTAAGTTCCTAAAATTTTTAGATATTTGAAAATTTTATCTCAGTTCTTTCTGCTATCAAAAAAGCCCATGTTTTCACCGTTATAAAGACAATTAAAGAAGAGCAAATGGTGAAAAACCTATTACTTTTACGGTAACCAGAGGCGTACCATTGGGTGCCATGTGCTGGTGACCCCTCCTCTGCTCAGTCCTCCATCATCTCATGTGAAACAACTGGCAGACAAATGTGCTGGAAGTGAATTAATCTACATAGTTTAAGAATTGAAGCTGTCGACATCCCTATTCTAATGTTGACTGGTTCTGTAGTGCTGAAGTGAAACAACTGGTTTTTAAGTCAGAATTTAGTTTGTGTATGGAATGAACCCAGGAAAAACTAGCTAATTTGCCACTGACGCACTCTAGTAAACTCTAATACTGTAATTTTTTAAAAGTCAAGAAATTCACATGTAAAGATCACACAAAGTGTTGACAGGCTGCAACATATGACAAATGCACAGATCATATAGAGTTTTCATGATTCTAACTATTTTGAGATTCAAAATGCACAGAGTTACTATCGCTATTGTATAAATGAGGATAAGCTGAAGGGCTCTGGTGTCAGAAGTTAGGAAGGAAGGAGGGAAGGAATAACATGCCAAACTTGTGACAAAAGAAGCGGTTGTGTTTGCTCTAGTAGTAAGGCACCAGTCAGGAAAAAAAGGTGAAAACCAAGAATAAAGTGGCGGAGAACATTGAATCTAACAGCCCTGACAATGAACAGCGTGCTATTTGAACACTGAGGGTGAGATCCTGGCCCTTAGTGAAGTTATTGGAAACCAGCTGCATGAGTCTGGGCTTTTATTCCGGGCTATGGAAATGTTAGTATCCAAGTTTTTGTGGTGGATGTTAGTCAGAAAGAAGATGCTACCCTGAAATTAGTGCCCTGAAATGTACACGTTAGTAGTTACGCTATATATTTTTTTCTTTTAAAATTATGCTTGGAAATAGTCTTAGATGAGGATCTGCTCATAGGCACTGACCAAACTAAGAAGAAAAGATGTCCTCTGATCCAAAGAACTGAAAATGCAGTTACCTCTCCCAAAAAATCTGCACTATTGACCTCAGTAAACCAGCAACCTTACCTAAGTGCCATCCTTGTTAGTAAGGAAGACTCTTACAGAAGACTCTGAAGGAATACAGTGCAGTAGCTGTGTTAGTATTTAAGGCTGGCTCCTCCCAAACGTGAGAGCAATGCAGGAGGAAGCAGAATAGTTTGGAAACTTAATAACCTGGTGATGAAGAAGGGATCATCCGACCCTTTATGACTAAAACTATGTTTAAAACAATTGATAAGGTAAATCAGTAAAGGTACAAAGAAAGTCAGTGAGAAATACTGGCAATAAAAAATGCTTATTTGCAGTATTCAACAGATTTATTTACATGGGTAAATATATTATTTAATAAGAAAGAGTCTTTAATTTGGAAAATAGAGACAGCTGATGGGTCGATAAGATCATTAATTTCTAGAAGGAGACAAATAAATTGCCATTCAAGTGTTTCTCATAACATGAAGAACTTATAAAATTACTTTGAAGACATAAAAATCTTACCAGGGAAATGCTTTATAAATGATCCACAAGTAAATTGCAGAACTTACTGCCACAGAATGACTTGCCTCCCAAAATACAAGCGAGCTCCCAAAGTAGTTAGATAAATTCATGGTAAAATGATCCACCCAAACCAATCCGAACACCATGATGCAGATGCAGCCTCCCACTCAGAAAGTCCCCCAAACCATGCTTAGTCAGAAGCTGGGGGCATGCAGGAAAAGAAAGCATCGCTTGCCCTGATGTTTTTCCTAATTAACAGTTGGCTAAAATCAGAGATGTAATAATAGTGGCTAATTGTTTTTTGTAGCCATCTGCTGTGTTTTATTAAGTCTGGCCCAAAAGAGTAGTTTTAAGTTGTATCATCTTTCCTGGAAGTCTGTAGGTATAGTATGGTGCAGTTAGGAAATGCATAGCTGTAATGGATTTTTGAGCACACCTTTCCTATAAAAGATGTTGAGGTAGTATGGTTTCAAAAATATGTAGTGATGATACAAAGGTCTGAAAACATTTTACATCTGGGTCTGTATAAAATTTGGTCTTGCTAGACTGCCTAAACAGGAGCGTTGCTCTGGGTACTGCATTCATCCAGTACAATAAACTGTAATAAAACACGAACGGTCCCATAAAACTATATTGATCCAGTGCTTTACCATATGACATCCTCACTGGAGAGCATGTTCCCATTTGCAGGTACAGGGACTTGTGATGAAAGTTCTTAGTCCACTGAAATGAAACGGTACTCAAAGTGTATTCGGTAGGCTTTATAGTGCAGCGCACTGGGGTTTATAAGTTGGAGAAATGTCTGTATTGCCTAAATGATAAAATCGATACAAGGGATGGTTTTCACATGCTGCTTAATCTGACGTGTGCCTTCCTACAGTAATGTAAATACCTGCCAGTATCAGTGCTGCTGTATTTACTGTTGCCAAGTTGTATGTGATGGACAAACGTAGAAGAAGCTTCTATTCTTCCAAGCCAAAGGAAAATTAAACTCTCTTCCTCTTCCTTTTGCCCATGCTTTCTCTTTCCTCAGTAGGATTGAAAATTCCACATCTTTGATGTCTGCCTTTCTGGTGTTTAAAAAAAAAAAAAAAAGTTAAAACAGTTGAAGGCATAGAAGATAAAACGGTGTAAGTCTATGTAAAGATACCCCGGCTGGCTTTCTGTTGACAGCCCTGGATGTTGAAAATGGCTTAGGTGTGCCAGCAAGATCCCTGTGGCTGCGGAGATGCAGCTGTGGACTTTAAAACGGCTGCTTTGTGCATCTGAGCTTTGAAAATGGCAAACTGGACATGGTGGGTTTAAGTTGAGACCCCATCATGAAAAATCGATGGCCTGGTTAATCCAGCGTTGGTATTTTGTCATTTTTGTCCAGATCAACTGACTTCCATGGGCATTCTTTCAAAATAAAAATGTATTCATTTGCAAATTATCAATGTATTTTGGGATTGAAAAAAATATTGCTACTGCACAACACTGTTCCTCTGCAACAGACTGCCCACATGGAAACCCATTCTGGTCTGCCCTATTGCTGAATATCGTTATGTGCATCATCATTGTTGGACAACTCGCCAAGCAGAAACTATTGGTTAGTTAAAAATGTTAATTTTAGCTTTGCAGTATTGGTTCCTTTGTTGTTCTTTTGTTAAACACCAATTATTATTATAAGGATTGTGATTATGAAATAAGACCTGTTTTAAAGTTTCAGAATGAAATGATAACTTAAATTCCTTGAAATATCTATTGTGAGTTTAAAAGTACTTTTTCTTGATGTGTACTGTTTAACTCAAACACTGGTTTATATCTGTAATACAGATATAACTAAACAGGAATACTTTTTGTGATAAGCATTTACAGTAGGTGACTGCTGAAATAGGAAATGTTTCATATTTCTCGAGACTATGAAAATGTCACTCATGGCAAGCTTGTTCATTTTAGCTGCTGGAACCAAATTTTTCAAGAACGACATTTATGAAGTATATGGTTGTATAAACGTAGAGATACACATTTGATATTTGACTCTGATTTTTTTATTAATATAGTGAAAGTTTTATAACCAGATGTGTAATTGATAATCTTTAATTATTGAATTATCTGTTCTACAAAAGTGTTTAATTGGAGTTCATTTGATCCAAAATAATGCATGGGCATTTTTTTCTTGGCATTTTAAAATGACTGTGTTTTAAGAAGTACATTTTCTTGCCTAACTCAATAGAGGAATATTTGGGGAAATTCTCATTGTAAATCTTTGTCTAATGCATATTTTTCTTCATCAAATAGTTGCAACAGTAAAAATAATTATGTTTGCCATCTAGCTAAGGCGATGCTGTTACTGTCCCCTTGATAGTCTGGAGTTTACAGCTCTGCTGCATGCTGAAGTGCTTGGGGTGTCTGCTGAAGATTAAATTGTAGCCTGACTGAACGATAAAACTCGAGCAGAGCAACACTGATCTTTTTCTGGTTTATTGCTTGGATTAAACAAGTGATTTAATCAATTTACTGTGTAATGTATATTAATATCATTGTTTCATGACTATTGACGAAAATCTTTTTAAACTTGCAGCAAGTAGTGGCAGCAATAAATGCAGGAATCATACCTTTAGGAAACACATCTACTCAGATCAGTCACTGGGACTTGGGAAGTTCCTTCTTCTTTGCTGGCACTGTTATTACCACCATAGGTAGGACACAGCTTCTTATCTTTTTATAGTAAATGAGCTGAAACTCTTTTGATTTCCAGTGTGTGCATATATTTGTTAATGTTAATCTTCCAGATCTTCTAGTTTAAAGTGGAGAGTTACTTTTTAGCTGCAGGGGCAGGAATTATAGCTGTCTGTAAGGATTCCTAGCTGAGAAAGTGATTCTTCTGTAGAAGAAAAATGTTGCTGTATATTTCTGTAAGGTGACAAGAAGAGGTTGTGGAAACATTTTCTTAGGGGAATTTGGTCAACTGTGTAATCATGTGTTAAATAGGCCAGAATTTAAAGCACACATGCATTAAACCTTGAGTGAGATGTATGGAATTTCAGGTCTGTATAATCCCATTCTATATTGTTGCTTTCTCTAAATTCTGAAAAAAAGATGAGAACGTGTTAAAGATTCAGTTCAGCTTAATTTGATCAGTTATGAATGTTGTATTGGCAGGCAGATTTATGTTCAAAAGCTTTCTTTGAGACTTCTGTTGCATTCAGAGAAGTCCAAAGCTGCGGAGTGATTTATCCATGCTTACAAGCCCAGGGAGTTTTCTGGATCCTTTCTGCATTTGAGAGCCACTCTCCCTCTGAGCGGGTGTGAACAGCAGCAGCGTTTGATCTTTCAGCATCTTCCCTTTGACTTCCCTTGCAATATAGTGCGCATGGTATACAGTTCAAAGATGTAGCGTAGCTCACAGATCATAGAAAGGGCATCCACAAAGGTGGCTGGAAATTTGAAGAAATCAAATGAGAAAAAATTTAAGACCTACATTATGAGAGTAATGTATAAGGAATTGTAGCGTTACCATAATTACCTCTATGTGATATTTATATGCAAATTGTGTTCGATTGATGTATTTACCTTTGCTCTTTCTTTATGCAGAAGTGCATGAGTACTGTGGTTTTTGTGTGTTTGAGTATCTACATGTCTATATATATGTATAAATATTGTGTCTATGTGTAATATTTTTCCACACCCAGAGTAACTGAAGCACAGGTTTAGCGTAGACAGAGCGAAACTCTTACCTCCCTGAGTTTAGTAACAAGCTCAGCGATTTTATAGTAGCAGGTCCACAAGGTAATAACAAGTATTAAGAAGTGTAATTTTAACAGATTATAACAAAGAAAAGCAAGAACCTTGAAAGGATAGCTTTATGATCAGTCTTCTATTATCCTCTTCTGACAGCACCAAGCTTCATGTCATAAGTAAGTATCCATGGTCCTGTAGAAAGTTCGTAATATTTGTTTCAGTTCCCAATAAGGATAAAAGTCAACGTATGAAAAGTGTTCAAGGAATTATATGATTCAAAAATTATTTTAAAGCAGTGGAACATTTTGTTTCACCATTTTGTTTCCAAGTAAAACTAAGACTTTTCTAAATCAAGATGTTTCCTGATTTGATTTATTGACCTGATTCTACCAAAACACGCGTGAGTCCTGCTTGGAGGAGAGAGGGGGATCTGCAGAGGCATCCAGGCCTCAGCTCCGCTGTCCCCAAGAGGCAAGATAACCCAATAGGAAATACATTTAAAAATTAATATTTCAGGTCATTTCTGCAAACCAGAGTAGTCAGAATCAGGTCAGACGAGGCAACTGTAAATGTTTATTTCAGGTTTTGTGATAGCAACCTGAGAAACTCTAGGGAAGAAAATCTTCCATAAAATATTTCAGCTCTGGAGTAACTGTGTTTTTCATCAGAGACCCTTTCTGATGGGAAGCTCCAAGTCAGTTGCAGTTTTGAGCTTTGTTTCTTCAGACCTCAGGACAGCATGCTTACATGAAAGCGGTAGCGTGGTTGGCGTTGTCGTGCTGCTGTGCACCATCCTCCCGATGGTTCAGAGGGCTTGCAGCGTGACAGCAGGTGGAGCTGGCATCAAAAGCCCTTGGAATTGTGACTTCCCCGGGAACGTGGTGACAAGCGTGACGGTTGGGTGTGCTCTCTCTTATTCTTTGTATGATTATGTGCCATCAAGTGATTTTGTGTTCAGAACAATATCTTTTCATATATGAGTAGTCTTTTGAAAATGAAGGCATTCCTTCCAATTTGGGGGCATATGGTTATCATGTAACTTGGTATTTTAATTTCTCAGCAGACTAAAAATGTGGTTTATGAGCATCTCCAGAGAGTTGCCATAGGTTTCAGCCAAACACTGCAGATATTCTCTATGGACAAAGATAGGACCTTATAAATTCATAAAAGAACTTTACAGAAGTAATTTGTAAATGTGATTTTATAAATATGAATAAAATTTATAACTATTATGTCCTTTAGACTGTATACCTTAAGAAGTACTTGAATAGAAGAAAAAAGGATTACTACCATTTAGAGAAAATGATAGCTTTCCAGTGTTGCAGCAGATTCTCTAGCTTTCCAAACCTCTTATTACTATAATTTTACCTTATCATTTAGCCCACACTCCTCCTGGTGATATCTCAGAATCCAAGAAATTCAAATGGAACCAAGAGTTTATTTATCGATAGTGTTTCCCAAACCTTTCTTTAATGACAGTAGCACTTGCATCCCACAAGTATTTGGTTCCTGGGGAGAGGGGATAATAAATAAAGCCTTTAGCATTTCCCTAAGCAGTAAGTTATTGTATTACAGTTCCTGTTACTATTGTATCACAGTAGTGATGAACATGTAAGTGAAAAATATTGACCGTGTATTTTGGTGGCTGTTGGCAGCAGTCCAGACCCATCTGTAGTTTCTTACACTTCTGGGTCTCCTGCACGCTGCTGAAAGGCTCTGTGAGGGGGGCATGTAAATCTGTTGAGCTTCAAAGCCAGCTAACAAAACAGAGGTAGCACTAGAGAAGGCGTGGCTTGATGTTTATTTAACAGGGTTTTTTATTCTCTTATAATCTTTCATGTTATCCAGTAAATGTTACAGTGCATGTTATAAAATCAATGAACTCAGTTTTAATAGAACGTAATCCGTCATACTGCTACTAGCTCTTTCCTAAGAAGTGCATTTAGTTGAGAGGTCAGGGTCAAACAGTTTCACGAGACTTTATTTAGAAAAGTTCCTTTGTAGATT